TGTTTGAAGCAGCTAGTTGTAATAAATTATAGGGACCTGCACATTTTGAAACCTACCCACATACAAAATACGATTACACTCTACTAATAGCTTATTGAGTAGTACTCTGACACTAAACCACAAACGCCGATGACATGTCTATGCCTGGAGGGTTTTAAAAGAAATGGCAGTAACAGGGCAGTCACGCCTCCTGGCGGAATATGTAGAGAGGTACGGACAAGAAAATTACCTTTCTGAAATACATAATTTTTAAGTTTGTAGATCCATTACAAAGATGAGAATTTCTAGCCATAAATTGAATATAGAATTAGGAAGATAAAAAAAATCCCTCGCGACCAGAGGTTTTGTCCATTCTGTCCCAATGATATTGAAGACGAACAACATTTTATTTTGAATTGTACACTATATAACGATAAACGCACAAAGCTGTTCAACCTTCTCCCCGCCTGCTCAACAGAATTTGTTACATTTCATGCTATAGATAAATTTAAGTTCATCCTAGAAGGCAATAACCCTTACTGTGTACAAATAGGTAAATATATCAAAGAATGTTTAAACCTTAGAACAAGTAGTATTAGTTGACCCACCTATTGTTCTGTACGTAGGATATTTTCGTTGTACCCATGTATACTTGTCTCTATATCTACATGTCTTAGACCTTACGAAGGTCTCTATAAAGTATTTGACCGGCGGTGCCGAACTGCCATTTATTATACTGCAATATGCCAACAAACAACGTTTTTCAACGAGCATAACGCAACCAAATGACAAATACTCTCACTTTGCAGTTAGGCCACAGCAAGTAAATTATATGGATGACATTCTCCGCAGGCTCCAAATAGGCTCCAAATCTAATTCGAGCGGGCAAAAACAAGGCGGGCCGAAAAAACAAGGTTTCCACATTATTTTTTGACTCAATCATAATTGTAGAAATGGTTTTGATTCAATGGGAACATACACAGCCAGCACCACGTATCACTGCATTAAAGTAAGAAATAAAACATTAAATCAAAGCCTTTTCTTGCTTCCTCTCTTCATAGTTATCTGCCATCCACCTTCTGGCATGGCAACAGACATCTTTGCCCATTTTCGGCATGTTGACCACTTTCAGAAGGCAACAAAATTTCTTGTTTTTTTTTCTTCCAAAATCAGGGGAAATTTAGGGGGGGGGAATGCACCAACAGTGCATTCTTTTTCTGTTGCTGACAAGATGAGTCAAATTTTCCACAATTGACCAAATCATCCTGTATTTGTTCATGACACAGCTCAAGTGCATGTTTATAATTTAGAAAGGACTTTGTGGACCTGACTTGCACGAATTGTGTCCTTTTTTTTTTACAAAAATACAACATTTCACTAAAAAAAAACATACAGTAAAAACCAATCAGCTATATGGTACAAATTAAATGTCAAGCTCATGTATTACTAAAAAGTACAAGTGGATAAGCAACACAACCTAGTTTAGCATATTACAGACATGAAAGACTGTTTCAATGTTTCAGTCTATTATTGTACAGAGTCTACTACAGATGTACTGTACAGTGTAGAAATGCAGTGCAGTATAAGGCCAAAGCAAGTAATTTTTATGGATGACATCAGCGCGCGCATTAATTTTCGCCTGATTTTGGAAAAAAAACAAGAAATTTTGTTGCTTTCTGACAGCGGTCAACATGCCGAAAATGGGCAAATATGTCTGTTGCCATGCCGGAAGGTGGATGGCAGATAACTAAAAGAGAGGGCACAAGAAAAGCCTCTGATTTAATGTTTTGTTTCTTACTTTGATGCAGTGATATGTGATGCTGGCTGTGTATATGTGATGTTCCCACTGAATTAAAATAAGTTGTACAATGATTGAGTCAAAATTTTAAAATGTAGGAACCTTGTTTTTTTCGGCCCGCCTTGTTTTATTCCTCCGCTCGCACGCGCTTTAGATTTGGAGTCTGCGGAGGATGTCATCCATAAAATTTACTTGCTGTGGCCTAAATCTGAAGTCACCAATCGTTACTAAGTTATCGATAGAAGGACGTGAAACACGTCACACTTAAGTTCGGCATATTTTAGTATAATAGTCACGTCCTTCTATTGATAACTTAGTTAATGATTAGTGACTTCAGATTTAGCAGGACGTGACTATGAACGAGCGACACCTAGCGGAATTTGTCTGCGACGGAAACAGTTGCGTTATAGTTGGCATGCTTATCATGATCAAGGCTAATATATAAGAATGGTGTCATCCATGTTAACATGCACAATATAGAGTGCTTTATTTCAGGTCCATGCCCGAGGGCTAATTGCAAACACAACTTCAACTTACTATCAAATCAAAAAATATTCTGAAATCTTAATCTTGCAGATAACCGTTTATATCATATCGTTCTTGGCTTTAGAAAGAGGAGCTATCTTGAATATACAGTATTATACTCTACCAAAAATTCCAATCTTGTTTTTCTTCAGAGAAGAATAATTTTCTTCCACTGAGAAAATTATTCTTCACCCAACAAAGAAATCTTGTCCATGAAACAACAATTTAAAGAAACTGCATTTTAGCATATTTTTCTTGTGGTAAGATTAATTATTTCACTCCATACTTAAGTATGGAGGGAAATACTGTTTTTACTGATGATTCTCCTCCTTCTTCTTCTTCTTCTTCTCCTCCTGCCATTTCTTTAAATTGATTCAATTCCTTCATTTTTGGGCCAAACGACCTGGAATTTCGTATAAAGGTAGAGTGGGTAAATACCCCTAGGCGTTTTTTATTTTTTTTTATTACAAGCTTTTACAATCGTTTTATTTGCGTTTTTAGCTGTTCCCATAGGAAAGTACTGTGGGGCGTACGCGCGTGACGTAATAAGAAAGGAATTCGGGGGCGGGCCCAAATATGGGCATGCAAGCATGAACCTGACGCAGCCTAATCTTTTCTTCTTGCTGATTGGCTGTTGGATTTGATTGGATTAACTCAATTAACACCTGTTCAAAGCCATTCCATTTTGACAGTATGAACTCAAGTGTTTTGGTAGGTACAGCAAAGCCACGAAATACGCATCAATTTTCGAGGGACGTTCTGCGGGAGAGTGCAGGACGCTGTGCGGGACTTCCCTCGGGAGAGTGCGGGACGTCCTCCGGGAGAGTGCGATACGTTCTGCGGGAGAGTGCGGTACGTCCAGCGGGAGAGTGCGGTACGTTCTGCGGGAGCCAGACATTTTGCTCTTCTCTGTTGGAACAACGCAAGTTGGAGGTCAATGACCTGCGCCCGGCGTGTAAACAAGATTGGACAGGGAGCGGCTGTAATATCAAAGGAGCCGGCGGCTTCTGCTAGCCGGGTTGATAGTTAAGTAACATCAAGGTGGTTCAGAAGCAAACCTGATAAAGAAGGAAACCCCGTAGTTAATAGTTGAAAGTCTTGGTGGCTTGAGGCGATCGATACCGCCATGCTGTTTACTTTTTATGACATACAATGCAGTGAGTGATGTGTATCGCACCGAGTTAGCTCGGTTGGAAACGCGCAAGGCGGCAATCCCAGGCATTGCAAGTTCGAACCCCAGTGCATCGGACATAAATATTTTTAGCAATTTAACATTTTTAACAATTTTATAATTTTTAACAATTTTATCAGTTTTAACGATTTTAACAATTCTGCATTTTAACAATTTCAACATTTTTTTTATTTTCGTTGTTTTGCTTTTAACATTCAAAAACTGATTGTTCTTACTCAAGAATGTCAATAACTTAGAATGTTAGTCTTTTGTATTTTTCCAACATACAAACTAAAATCACTTTGATGTTGTCACAAAAGTATTGAGCTGACAAGAGAGAATGAGTACGGTACTCTGCCAGTGTGAAGAATCTACAGAGGTATTACCAGTCACTAGTAGCAAGAGATAGACCACATTGAATGATGACGATGAGGACGAATCATATGGAGTACTATCATAGCTTAGTACAGAAATTCTACTGCTTTACTTTACTTTACTTTCTTTCACTCTGTACATGCAATTAGCTCACTGGCATGATTTTAAAAATAAAGGTTATGATAATCATATTATATGTATAGCTTATTCAATGTATGGCTTCATAGTTTATGTGATTGTTAATAAGGCCATGTTGATTTGATTGTATGGATGGCATCTGTGCGCGCATCGGTTTTCGTTAATTTAAAACTAAGTTTACGACATTCATACAAAACATCTGGAAACTAAGCAAACATACTCTGTAAATTGATTACTGTAATTCCCGATTTTTTTTTCACTGTACCGCAACGTAACGCAAGCAGGAGGTCAATGTTCACGGTTTTCACTGTCACCTCTGTACCGTGAACTTATCTTTACAGTTAGGAAATAATTCCTGGACTTCTTTTTCCTGCAACTGTCACCACCGTGAATATATAGTTCCGTGAACATGTCCATGTTTCTCAGACCGTGAAAATTTTGATACCGTTAGTAGTAGTTGCAATTTCGTCATTAGTAGTATTTAGATACCTGCAATATGTAACTTTGAAATTGAGATAAGTGTAAAGTAAAGCTGTCGAGATTTAAAGTGCTTGTCGTTGTATCTTTGTAAAAAAAAGGGAGATAATGGCCAAGTGCCATTTTTGTAAATATCTGTCGAGATTCAAAAAGCTTGTCCTTGTATGATTGCAGTATGATTTATTCAGAATCTTCTATTTTTGTATGGGGAGGGAGATGGAGTGAAATATTACATTTGCTCCGAAGCAAATGTTGGCCTTTCTAGTTTCTTATGTATCTTGACTAATATCCTTAGAATGATATTCTTGCAGTAAGGATTTCTAAGTTAAGAATACCATTCTTCCCACGTGATT